AGGGCGGGCGAGCGGCCGCTCTGTGCGGCCGGGCGGGCCTCGGAGCAGGGAGCGGCCGGGGGGCGGCGGCTGCCTACGTGGGTGCCGCGGGAGGGGGAGCCCGTTGTACGAGGCGGCTCGCGGACGGGCCGCTGCGTGGGCAAGGGCGGCGCCGCCCGTCCCGGGACGCGGCGCGGGGCCGGGTCCTGCGCCCTGTGCGCGGCCGTGCGAAGGAGCGGGAGGCCCGGTGGCCGGGGCCCCTCGGGGGGAGCCCCGGACAGACGAGCGCTGTGTGCGAGCGGTTAGCTGGCTTTTTTGGGGGAGGAGGGAGGGGAGCAGAGAAGGAGGGGCGTCCTCTTGCTAGTCCCGTCTCATGCCAAAGTAAGGCAAAGCAGGTTGCGAAACTCGTTTCGGACCTGGATGGGAGCTGGAGATGGTCTCTATTCTCGTTATCTCAGGAATGCGCTGTGAAGCCCTAATCGATTTGCTGGGACGCGGCTGGGAAATTGGAGAAACGCATGAATTTCTTTTTCTTCTGCCCGACCGAGTGTAGCATTTCTGCCACTTTAAATTTCACACGCCAATGCTGTTGTAAGTCTGTGTTTTAGCCACTGGGAAACATCTGTTTTCCTAGTAGACTCAGGCTTGGTGATCACCAGGCCGTCTGCTCTCTCTCCTTTTGTGTTGGCCAGAGAGGCAGATGCTTTGCTCTGAGAGTTTGTACTGCAGCCCGCTTCCTCCTCTTTTGACCAAGTTTTAGACTAGCAGTGTCCTAGCTCACTGCTACCATCACAGGGAGAACTTTTCAGCTGTGGCCACGGCTGTGGCCGTTCTTTATGTAAGATACGAGCTTTGTGCGATCTGCTTACATACTTTGCTGACTGCTTTGTTTGTAAAGTGTGATGTTAGCATTAAGCTACGTGCCCTGAGTATTATCTTTTGAGCGCAACATGGGTTGTTAGTGACAGCTGGAATGTAACATCGCACAGAGCCCAAGCAGGAAGCTGCATATATGGCGTACGTGTGTTTATTCCTTGCTCTAGACTGGAGACGAAGGAGGAGTTGAGGTGCAGTCATTTGGACTTTACAAAACAGGAAGTTGCCGTCAGTTCGGCCTGATGATGTCACGAGCTTCGCTCTCCCGAATGAGTTCTAAACTTTGAATTGGGGTATTGGCTTAAAGAAAGCTGACTAAACTAATTTTGGATGGTGGAGGAGGGAAAACTTCCAAGTCACTCCTGAGGGTTTTCTTGTTTACTTGCTGCTTTTTTAGATGATACAGCGGTCATTTCTGTTTCTCCTTGTAGCTTAAAGGCCAGTCAGAGTATCTTGAGAGTGTCTTGAATTCGGTTGTCATAATCCACTTGATATTGTGGATTCTTGTTTCCTGTCACGGACTTCTGTGTAACCTCGCTGCTCAGTGTTTTATGGGTGCCTTGTTGTGTCCCAGAGGTGGCTGCGTTTCAGGGAGAGGCAAAGCAGCTGCAGTAGTTCA